AAAAAAAAAAATGTCGACAATTTTGTCGGGCAGAAAAAAAAAAGGGGGGGAAATAAATAATAATAATAATACGTAACCGGTTTTTTTTTAAAAAAAAAGAAAAAAAAAAGTTTTAAACGTTGCCAAAATAATTATTTAAAAAAAAAAACGACACAAATTCAATTTCAATTTAAAATAATTAATTGTAAAAAAAAAAAAAGAAAAAAAATTGTCATTGAACTTCGTACAAAACGCATATAAAAAAAAAAAAATTTTCTTTCACTTATTATCATTATTAATATAAATTATAATTAGTTGCATGGTTATTTACAGGTACGTGTGTGTCATAAAAAAAGTAATTCAACCTGTATAATAAATTTCAATTTTTTTTTTTTGTTTGTATAAAAAAAAAATTTCTTTCACTTTATTTTTGGCTCTTATTGTATAAAAAAAAAAAAAAAAAAAATTTTTTTTTAATAACAGGTTGTTGTTATTAAATATTTTTTTTTATCGATAAATAAAATATATTACTTTAATAATAATAATAATAATAAATTAAATCGTTAACGTTTAAAATTATGACGTATTTAAATGTTAAAAATTTAACGTAATAATAATGATTTCTTAGTATTGTTAAATAATCGACAAAAGTTTTTTGTTAAACGAATAGGAAAAATGGCTCCTTGAAAATTTAAAAAAAAAAATTATTTATATAATAGTAAAAAAAAAAATTTGTTTGTCATTGTTTAATTATTATTATTATTCACTACAAACATTCAAACGACTTTTTTTTTTTTTTTTTAACTAAATCATGACTTGCCATTATTTTTAACTTTTAGTATACTAAAATAAAAAAATAAATAAATAAAAAAATAAAAAATTTTTTGTACCTTGTAAATATAATCATCACAATCTTCATAAACGTCGACAAATATTATTATTATTATTATTAATATTATTATTATTGTTTTTTTTTTAGATTAATAAATTAGATGTGGATTAACATTAGGAAGAAACAATACTGGAATCAACAGATGTATGTGGAAATGGCGAAGAGTTGAAAAGGAAATGCGACGGCTCGGATTTTCAATTTTTTTTTTCTCTTTCCCTCTCTCTCTCTCTCTCTCTCTCGTTTTCTCTTTCTCACTTACTATTGTGTTAAATATTCGTATAAAATTTCTTTTTTTTTTTTACGTTAATTATCGATTTTTTTTTAAATTTTATTTCCAGGCATTAATAAATTTTTTTAATTAAATTAATTTAAATTTTCACTCAAAAGTAATACAAAAAAAAAAAAAAAATTTCAAATGAATTATTATTATTATTATTATTATTTATTAAAAATAAATCCCTTTGTTTTATTTTTTAAATTTTTTTTTTTTTTTTTTTTTTTTTTTCAACAGGGAATTTTATAAACAAAACAGTAGACGTTATTTAATTGGAAAAAAAAAAAAAAAAAAATGTCTGCAGAAGAAAAAGTTATTTAGGTAAATTTTTTTTTAAATAATTAATTTTATTATTTTATTATTTGTGTGGGTGTTTTTTTTTTTTCTACAAAAACAAAAACGGTTTTTTTTTTTTAAATTAATAATTTTTATTTTAAAAAAAATTGTATAAAATTATTATTATTTTTTTTTTTATTCAAATGTAAATAATTGATGCATACAAAAGAAAAAAACATGTAAACAATCCAAACATCCTCTGCTTGATGATGATAATAATAATAATAATAATAATAATTAAAAATTAACTTGTGGTCGAAAATGTTTTTGTAATTTGTTCGATTTACACGAAACTTGAACTGAAAACTTTTGTCGAACTCTAGCCATAAATTTAAGATCTCTCGCTTTCCTACAAAAAAAAATACAATTCATTATGATAAATTCATGTACATAAATGGTTTAAATAATTTATGAATAATCACTTATTATTATTATTATTATTATTACAATACAAACCTTTCAGCGATTTCTTTCTTTATAGGAGAATAACCGAGTTGCCTATAATTATTTATAACTTGATTTAATTTCCTATTAACCAACATTCCACTTTTTGGATTTAAATTTTGTTGATAATATCTCATAAGACTTCTATGACCAATTACAGCACCTGAAGGAAGAACAAGTTGATATCCTGTACCATCCAAAACTGCAACTTCTACTTCATCATCCGGATTCTTTTCTTCTTGATCTGGGTAACTGGATGAATAATCATAATAGGGAGTGAATTCAAGTAATGCTTCTCCTTCATGGTAAACATTTGTATGTCCTTTATCTATCTGTAATTTTAGATAAGAGAAAAAAAAAATTTAGAATTTTAATCATGCAACATGTTTTGAAAATTTAAAAAAAAAAAAATTTCATTACCATATGCTTTTGAACTGCTTGAACGGAATTAAAATTTTTCCCATTGCACCATAAACAAATATGTTCGTAAAATACTTTAGCTCCTAAATGAAGTAGTAATCCCTTTAAATCAACACAATATTCTAGATCGGGTAAAAAGAAAGAATGAGTTTCAGACATGTGTTTTATGTTAGCGACAAGGCTTTCACTCTGATTTTTACAAAATAAGCAAATATTTTTATTTATAGGATTGTCAAAGTCTTCTTCATTCCATTCATCTGATGATAGCTCTTCAATTTCAGAATCTGTTTCAATATCAGATTCAATACTATCATTATCATTATTATCCCCTGCAGTATTGACAAAATTCATTTTGTTATCTTTTGAAACTTTTGGCTGTTGCCTGACTATTTCTTTTTTAATATTGTTGTCACCGATTTCATTCTTTAATCTTTCCTTATGTTTGTTTGACTTGATGTGATTTTCATAGGACTTAGTGGTAGAAAAATGTTTTTTGCAAATTGTGCAATAAACACTTTTATTACTAGAATTTTCTGCATCGATAGCTCTCTGATTAAGAACTTTTTGTTCAAAATCTTCAGCTGTAACTGGAGATAATTCTGCAACTTTTCTTTTCAAATTATACCTATGCCAATCTGTTTTGTAATGAAGTCGTTGAATATCTGGATTTTTAAATGCAACACAACAGGTTATGCATGTATATGTTGCAGCCATTTCAATGTAATAAATAAGGAACCTTAAATAGCAATACAAATAATATTAATTCCGTTATTTTTAAGTTAAAATATATTAAAATAATTATTTTTTGTTCGAGATAAACGATAACAGAATATATTAAAAAAATTATACCTATAAATAAAATTTTACAGTATAGTTTTGCTATTGGTGTACTTAAAAAATTTAAAACTACATCAATAATAACATCCGTATTATCGATATATCGTTTCTGAAGGGGGAAAAAAAAAATGGTTTTTTATGGTGAATTTTTTTGAGTTTCGTTTATTTTCAGATTAAAAATATTATCGTGCTTCAGTCGTAGAATAGTTTTATACAAAGTATTAAATTTATTATTGCAAAAAATAATTAAAAGTTTTTTTTTTTTTTTTAAATTAGTTATTTGCTATAATTAACTACAACAGATTGAAAGACTTATCTGCATTTCATTGTTACGTCATTCCCTTTCCGGTTTCAGTAAATTTTTGCAAATTTTTTCGGCCGAGACAAATTAATTTAATTTGGACGTTTTTCGAAATTATAAAAAATTTTTTAAAGGCCTGAAGTTAATTTTTTGTGTTTATTTAAATATATAATTAAATTTAACTTAGTTAAAGTGTCTTTACGTAGTTTATTTTTGTCTAGTTTTTTTTTTCTATTGTGATCCTCGTGCAAGCTGTTTTCACTGTGAATTAGGTGATTGAATTTAATTTTAGAATTACAAAAAAAAAATAAAATAAAAATAAAATAAAATAAAAAAAATGAGTTTACAATAATCACCTCAAATGGGGGGGAAAAAAAAAAAAATTTATTCACAAACGATTCATTTTTTTTTTTAAATTTTTTTTTTTTTACATGCTAAAATAAACATGGAACGATTGCATAATATTACTAAATTATTTTTTTATATGATTTAATGGGTTACATAAATATTAAATTTTGTGATTTTTTTATTTTTTCAGCTGTATACACGACTAGGTAGCATAATATCTGCCGTACTGACACAGTAGAAGTTTACCATTCTTATTTTTCTTTTTGTGCCTTTTTATTATATTTTTACTCCCTGAAGTACCCCAGCCGTCCATAGGGGCGACAACGTTTTATATGACTTTAACACATTTTAAAGGTAAATATTATTATTATCCTTATTTTTATTTATTAAATTTTTTTTATTATTTGTTTTGAAAACCTTGATTTGTTTTAAAAAAAAAAAAAAAAAAAAGCCTGCATTTTTTTTTTTTTTTTTTTTTTTTTTTATTATTTGCTAAATGTCACTTTTGCTTTTATCAAAATAATCACATTAATTTGCAATTCAGTGTGAAAAAGTTGATTTAGTTTTTTTTTATTTAATTTCAATTTGAATTTCAATTTTTTTTTTCAATTTTGATGGGTGTTGCGTTCAGATTTTATTTCGGTATAATTAGTTTTAATTTTATTTTTCAAATTGCTACTGATTTTATTAGCCAATCAGGTAAAATTGGCTGTTAATTGTGTTGCACTGTCATCTGCTTTTAATTTTCAATTCAATGAATCAATATGCATGCAATAAATATTTGAATGAGTTCAATTCGAATTCGAAAACTTAAAACTATTGTTAATTATGTAACTTGCATTGCTGCATTTTTATTTTTTTCGAAAGAGATTACATGTGGTAAATAATAATTCACTTATTACTATTTTATTCTAATATTTCATTTGAATAACTTTTCAAAATTTGGAATATTCAAGGAATGAATTATCTGATAAATTTTTTTTATTACATAATTTTTTTTTTTTTTTTTTTTTTAACAAAACTAAATCGAGTTATTATTTTCAAATTGCACACAGATGAATAAAATCAAATTTTTTTTATGCACCAATAGTTTTATATAGGTAAAAATTTTTTAATTATTCTACCATATGGTTCAATAATAAGTCGATGAATTTTTTTTTTTCATTCGAAACATTTTTATTTACATTATTGCACTTATTATTATTACATAATTACTTTTTTTTTTTTTTTTTAAATTTGTCATGCAGTTTTATTATTTATTTATATCATTTTTTAAATTTAATGATTGTAAATCATAAAACAAAACTTTTTTTTTAAACATTATTCGATACCATGATTGTTTTTTGATTTTTGTGTCTCGATTAAAATTGGTACTTTTTGTAACAATTAAATATCGAGTAACATTTTTTTTATTGGAAATATAATATTAAAAAATTTGTTTTCTAAAAGAAAAAAATGAGAATTTCCATTAAAATATTTATTTATGATATAATTTTATTATTATTATTTAAACGAAAAAAAAAAAAATGGGGGGGAGGAACATGAAAATTATTTAGGATTTGAATTTTTTTTTTTTTTTTTTTTAAATAATTTTCCGGGTTTTGATTCGATTTAGTTTCATTTTAGCTCACTTTTGAGTCAGATGAGGAAAAAAAAAAAAAAAAAAAAAGGAAACGTTTAAAGCGTTTGCGCCGTGCATTTTGGGTTTTTTTTTTTTTTTTGCTGGAAATCAATTTTCAGCTGGGCCTTTTCTCCGCATGTAGTTTCCTTTTTGTCCGCCATTATTGTCACAACAATTTCACTTTACGGGAAATTCATTTTTTTTTTTTTTTTGGTATTTTATTACTATTTAAATTCATATTTGACTGTGTAAAATAATAAAATAATAAGTAAAGTATTAATATTTTCGTGTGTCTTTTTAAATTTGGATTTTCTTTTTTAAATCTTTTGTTTTTAACATTCGTGTAACGTATTAATAATAATAATAATAATTTCAACATATTGTTTATTAAATGAATTATTCGTTGATTATGGTTTTTAGGTGGTAAAATGGAAATCTGGCAAATTTTAATTCTTTAATCGTTTACTTTCTTTTTTTTCCCCTATGTAAAACTTTATTTTCTCTCTCTCTCTCTCTCTCTCTCTCTCTCTCTCTCTCTCTCTCTCTCTCGTTTCTAAAGTGTAAAAAGAAAAAACAAAAATTTTCTTGAAAATTCCACATATATAAAAAAAATATATATTAAATCATTGTGAATTTATGGGACAAAATTATAGGATTCTCCATTTCTCTCCATCCATCTCTTTTCCTCTTATTGAATTCTCTATTCTTTTTCTTTTTTTTTTTTCGATTCGACGTACGTACGTATACACGTTTATTCTCTTTTTTTGGAAACCTTTTTTTGGAAAAAAAAATTTTCCCTTTGAAATTATTCTTTGAAACAGTTGCATTCATTTAGGACAAGAAAAAAAAAAAAATAGGAAATTTGTGAAATTTAGGTATCGGTACCTGTTAAAGAAGGTTCGCTTGTATACACACATTAAATATATATGTAGATTATTTTTAAAAGAAAGAAGAAAAGAAAGAAAATTTCTGTGGTCGAATTTTGGTGATTTTTTTTTTCTTTTTTTTTTCTTTTTTTTTTTAGCTTTTCGCCATAAAAAATTAAATTTGAATTAAATTTTTTTTAAAATTAACAGTTAAATTTTTTATTCCGGTTGTTATTATTATTATTATTATTTAGTAAATTGAAAAAAGGATTCACGAAATATTTTTAAACTTATGGTGCTGTCCAGTCTTTGGGGTACGTATTTTATTTTTTAATTAATTAATTTATTAATTGATTTTCCACGCACACACACACACACACACCCCCTCACCTCTCCCCTCCTCCCACGATTATTATTATCGTTTATTTAAACAATCGTTTTTTTTTTTAATAACGATCTCGGCGTTTCATTGATATTATTATTATTATTATTATTTCGGGGTTTTCTCGTTCTCGTTTTATCAAAATTTATTGATCTGTATTTATTTATTGGGTTTTGGTGAAATTATTTATTCAATTGATTTATTATTATTATTAATTTAACTTATAAAATAGGATTTTTTTTTTTTTTTTGTTTTAAAAAAAAAAAAATTTTTTTTTTACTTTAAATGATTGAAGAATGAGAAGTACGTTTTCTTTCCATTAAATATTATTAAATAAGAAAATTTATTAATGACAAAAGAAGCTTTTCTCTCTCTCTCTCTTTCTCTCTCTCCCTCTCTCTCTCGGAAAAATCATGAACCTGATGCAAATAAGAGAAAAAAAGGAGAAAAAAAAAAAAGGAAGAGAAAAGGTTAGGATTTGATGGTGAATGACGTAAAGGGTTAAGGTGTGACGCATATAAAATCGAACGACGAGTTTTAATGTTTTTCTTTTCCTCTCTCTCTCTTTCCCTTTCTCTCTCTCTCTCTTTCTCTCTTTCTCTCTCCTCTTAATGAACTCGGTAAACAAAAAAAAAAAAACAAAAATTAAATTATGGTTTCAAAATGGTTGAAAAAAAAAAAATATATATGGTCTGTTAATTTTTTATATCATTTTTTGCAACACACACAGGTCCCCCACTTACACCCTCTATATATATATTACGAAAATAAAAGAAAGGATATAAAAAAAAAAAAAATGTCGCGGAATAATTGCTACGTGTTTTGAAATTTATCATTATTATCATTATCATTATTATTATTATTTTTTTTTTTTTTTTTGTAGAGGCATCATTAGCGAGAAAAAAGTGTCGTCCAAATCGATCTCCGGGCCGTGGCCAACTAACGTGTATGATTTCACGTAAGAGGCAGCAAAGCTATAGGTAGTATCACTTTAACCGGAAAAAATTATTATTATCATTATTATTATTTTTTAAATGCAATTGATTGCGTATTGTACGAATGGTAAATTAATATTATTATTATTATTATTTGTCAATTAGGAAAACAAAACTTTCCACCAATCAACATCGAAAATTGCAGCCATTCAGAAAAACGTGACTGGTTGAGGCGCAGAAGTAGAAGCCTCCCTTTCTCGACTCCAAAATCCAACCATAAATTTCACCAAGATTTTGTCTAAATAGAGTTACCCGATTTGTTAATCTAAGGTATAAAAGACAAAAGACACGGAAAATGGTCTGAACAAACCATTCGGAAAAAGTCTGAACTTTTTGAGCAATAATGAATGAATTTTTTAAAATTTCAGTCACACAATGGGGAGTTTAAACGTCAATAGATCAGTAAGTGATGCTTATTACCGCTATAAAATGCCGCGTATCATGGCCAAGGTTGAAGGAAAAGGAAACGGTATAAAAACCGTTATTGTTAACATGATGGAAGTTGCCAAAGCTTTGGGAAGACCTCCGACATGTAAATACGCACACACGCACACACGCACTTTATAAATTGTATCATTTTGAATTTGTTTTTGATTTGATTTTATAATAAAATTTTTTAGATCCAACAAAATATTTCGGTTGCGAATTGGGTGCTCAAACCCAATTCGATTTCAAAAACGATCGATTCATCGTCAACGGAAGTCACGACGCGGCGAAATTACAGGATCTCTTAGATGGATTCATCCGGAAATTTGTTTTGTGTCCGGGTTGCGACAATCCGGAAACGACTCTTTTGATTTCTTCGAAAAAAGGAAGCATATCCCAAAGTTGCAAAGCGTGCGGTCATCACGGTCCCCTCGAATTCAATCACAAATTAAATACATTTATATTGAAAAACCCTCCTAGTAAGTCAGTCAGTCAGTCATACCTTCCGGGAATCATACTAGAAGGAAGAAAGATTATCACACTTCCTGATAAAAAAAAATTTTTCCTTTTTTTTTCAAGATTTAAATCCCGCTACTCAAGGTTCCTCATTAACGGAAGGAAAACGTTCGAAAAGATCTAAGAAAGCTGTGAACGAAACGAACGGCGACGGAAGAAGTTCTCCAAAATCGGACGAATCCGATTCTGATAAATTCAAAGCGAACGCTTCGATGAATCCAGAGAAAGAAGTGAGTTTTCCCGAGCGTTTTCTCCCTATTGGGGAGGGGGAAATATGAAAAAAAATGTCATTATTATTATTATGTTTACAGAACGAAGATGATGATTATGATAATTGGGCTGTTGACGTTTCCGAAGAAGCTGTTAAAGCCCGTCAGCAAGATTTAACCGAGGGAGTGAAAGGGTTGATGATGAATGATGACCTTGAGAAAACTGAAAAAGTACTTGCACCACTTTAAATTAATTTATTATTATTATTATTATTAGTACTACTACTATCCTTTTGTTTTTTGTGTGTTTAGGAAAGAATAGATTTGTTTTACAATTACATAAAAAAATTAAAAGATGTTGGATTATTGGAAAATCATCGGGAAATCGTAGCCGAAGCAGAAAGATTAGAAATAAAAAATAAGGCGACATTAGTATTGGCTGAATTATTATTCGACCAAAACATTCACACTCAAGTACGTACTCTCTCAAGTCAAAAATGAAAATCAATCGATGATGACTGATCGATATGTAATCAATGAATTATTATTATTATTTATTTATTTATTTATTTATTTATTATTTAGGCTAAAAAACATCGCGTTTTACTTTTGCGTTTCACTCATGAAGATTCTAAAGCCCAAAAATGTCTCATAGGAGGAATTGAGCAAACGATTGCTTTGCACAAAGATGTACTTCTTCAAAAAGTTCCTGCTATTTTTAAGGTTTGTTTGTCTCTCTCTCTTTTCTCTCTTTTCTGTTTTTTTATCTGTTTGATTTTTACACGCAGTTATTTTACGATCTTGACATTTTGGAAGAGAAAACATTGCTTGACTGGTCGGAAAAAGTGAGTAAGAAATACGTGAGCAAAGAATTAAGTCAGGAAATTCACAACAGGGTTAAACCGTTTATATCGTGGTTGAGAGAAGCCGAAGAGGAGACTGAAAGCGAGAGCGAGGATGATGTCGAGGTAGGTTAGGTGGGAGGGTAGGGGTAGGGGAAAGGGGGGAGGGGGTGGAAGAAATTGGGGAATCCCCTTCGAAATCAAATTTACATTTGTTTTGTTTTGGATCAGATTGAATACGACGATCGTGCCAAAAATTCTCCATTGAAAGAACAACCTCAAGTTGGTGGTAAAACGCCGGCGGCCGTTAACGAAGACGATGACGAGGATGACGATCTTAACATCGATGACATTTAATTAACATTATCGCATATAATAATAATAATAATAATAATAATGAATGAATGAATGAATTAATGAATGAATTTATATAATATTCTCGAAAAAAAAAATATTCAATCAACCAGTTATTTTCCATCATTTTATATATGATAGTTGTTGTTTTCAATTTTTTTTTTTTTTTTTAGGCTTTAGTAATTTTTTTTTTGAAAAATAAAAATATAAAAAAAAACATAATAATAATGATAATGATAATGAAAAAAATTTAAAAAACAAACAAAAAAAAATTAAAAAAAAGGCAAAAAAATTTACAAAAAAAAAAAAAAAAAAAAAAATGATTTTAAAGATATATTATTATTAATTTTGATGAATATTAATTTTTTTTTTCTTTCTTTTATTTTATTTTATTTTAAAAAGAAGTATAAAATTCACACACGCATTGAAATACTTCTTTCGAAAAATAAATAAATAAATAAATAATGATGATGATAATTTTTAAAGGGTAACTCGATTTCATTCTTGAAACTGTTTCAATTTTTCTCTTTTTTTTTTTTTTCTTTTTTTTTTTTTGTAGATTTTAAAATAAAGTTTGCGTTTCAATATTATATTCATTAAAATTTTTCTTTTTTTCTTTCTTTTTTTCATTACAATATTATATTGTTTTTAAAAACCTTAAATAAAGTGACAACATATTGATGAAGAGGGTTAAGGTTTTTATGTTTTAATTTTTTCTTTTTGAATTTCATTCGGAAAATATAAAAAATAAAAATTATGTGAAGTTAATAAGGTTTTTATTATTATTATTCAGCTAAAAAATATTATCCAAAAAAAAAAATGGAGTGGGAAGGAAGGAAAGGAGGGAAATTTATTGTTAAAGTCAAAAAAATTATTACTTTTTGTAATTATTTTTGTTTCCTTTTTATTATTTTACGGTTATAGGAAAACATTTTAAAAGCCTTATTTAAAAAATCCCATTGTAATAGTGATTTAATGTAAAATAATAATAATAATAATAAAAAACATGGAAAAAAAACAATTTTAATTTTATTTTAATAAAAATTGCTTTTAATGTCCAAATTATATATTATTTTCTTTATCAAGTTTATTTCATCATGTTGCATTAAAAAGGGAGAAAAAGGGAAGAGAGATTCTTTTTTGTTTTGTTTCCATTTTGTTTCTTTATTTTATAAAATATTAAATAAAACAAAAAAAAATGGATGTTAAATTATGTCCTTTATTCAATTAATGTTTCATATTAGTCTTATCAATTTGAGTTTACATTTTTATTATTATTGTTCTTATTTTATTTTTAATATTTAAACTTATTTATTAATAATTAATTAAAATTATAACTTTACAAAAAAAAAAAGAATTATTATATCCAAATAAGAGTTTTTCTTGGATTCTATATAATTTTTTTTAATATTAATTTCTTATTAATTTTTCAATTTATTTAAATAATATTATTAAAATTATTTATTAATTTCTCATTTCTTGATATGAGGGCTTTTCGATTATTAAAAATTGATGATTTTTTTTTTAATACGACATGTTTTGCTAAATTTAAAAAAAAAAAAGTCGATTTTTATAAACCTTAAAAAATTTGTCGCCATTTTAAAGAAGGGAAAAAAATCGTCTTGTTGCCTTTTAGTAAAAAACATTTTACAAAGTAGATCACAAGACGAAAAACTTTGTACAATTTAGTTGTGTTGATATTTGTTCCTGTAGGTATTGTCAGTTTTTATTTTATTTTATTTTATTTATTTATTTTTTATTAGAAATTTTTACATTTTAGTTATTTAAATAAGTGTTTTCTTTTTAATTTTATCAAATTACACACATACTATAAATGAATAATCTTTGTTTTTGAGCTCAACTTAACCATGAAGATATTGTCAGCCATTTTGTTGCTTTCCTAACTACTATGTATGACACACTAAAATGAATCTACCATACGCAGTAACTAGTAGCTTTTATAAGGAATTGTTCGGTAAAGATTAAATGATTTCGCTAAAAATAGGTTTTGTTTAAATTTTGTTTTAGGTAATTATTTGTCATACCGTCAATTTCGTATAATTTTTAAATCAACATTATTTCTTTTCGTATGAAGAATTTTGAGTTTTTAGTTTAACCGTTTCTGGTGGTTATCTCTTTGGATTATGGAAGAACGTGAAGAGTAAGCTAGATAAAATTATTTTTGATGCCTGTATAATATTTTAGAAAGGGTTGGGTGATTCATGTAACACTTTCCTAAAACAAATCACTATACTTTATTTTTTTTTACCCAATTTTACACCAAATTTTTATTTGAAACTCAATATCTTTGGTTTTTATTACGTGCATTTTATTACAATAAGTAAATAAAAAAAAATTCGTAAATACTTATAGTTACTTCCCTTCTTTTTTTTTCGAAATAGATTAGATAGATATTTAGCAAGAATGAAAAAAAAAAAGCTCTTTACTATCTGATTAATTCCAAGTAGTAATTAGGTACAGCATCAAAAAAAAATGCAGAAATATTTACAAGTTTACTAATTGTTTAGTTTTAGTCATCAAAAATTTCGAATAAGATACTTTAAAATGTAATCGATAGTCGAAAAATTTATTTTCTTGCATGTATTCATTATTCACTCGATTCTTTTTTAATCCATTCATTCACTAATTATTACAATTAATTAATTTTCTTAAGAATTTATTTCATTAGTTTTAATCAAATATATATATAAAAATAATGCAATGTTTTGTAACAATTTTTCTTTTTTTTATGGTTGGGTGCCTACAAAAAATTTAATTACAGAAATATATATATATTGTTTTACATTTATCAGGTTGGTTTCGGTTGGATTAGGCTTTAAAAACAAAGAAACTATCAAGTTTTATAATTTGAGCTTTTAAATATTTAAATAATTTGTATCATTTACTTTTGTTCTGGTCAAAATTTGTTGATTTTTTTTTTTTATTTTGAAAAAAAAAAAAAAATTATTAAAAGTGAGTAAAATGTTATTCGTAAAAATATCATTGCATTATCATTAATCTCATTGGTTGGTGGCCTTAAAATTTTTTTCGTTTTTAATATTTATAATATTTAGAGTAATAATTTTTTTTATGTTCAACTCTCCTTTCTATTTATATTTTATTCAACTAAACTTCTACTCTTATCTTACCATTAAAACAAAATTCTTTGTTTTTATCATTGGTTGTTGCTCTCTCTTTTTGTTTTTGTCGGGGGAATCACTTAATAATTGCTTACAAGTTTCATTCGATAACAGGTCAAAATTTAATTTTATAAATTTTTTACAATTATTTTCGATTAAACAAAAAATTCTTTATTTAAAAGTTTTTTTTTTTTTTTTGTTAAGGTTAACAAACATTATTTTGTTTTCAATTACAATATCAAATTACATATCAAAAAAAAAAAAAAAAAAAAAAAAAAAAAGGAAAGGGAATAGGAAAAGAAAAGAAAATTTTTCATGTTTACAAATTGTTTTTTTTATATAAATAATGTTTTTTATGTTCTAATTATTTTCATTTCCCATAACGAATTTTGAAACTTCTCTCATAGTATTATATTATATTTTTTATCTTTTTTAATAATTATTTTTAACATGAAAAAAAATTAGGGCATGCAATTGTTTTAACTTTTTATAACTTTCTATTTTTATAATTTCCCTTTGTAATTTTCATTCGTTACAAAAAAAATTATTTGAATTTTTTTTAAAATTTTGCCACACGCACACGATGATAATATACTTGAAACATATTTAATGAAAATTTTCAAGAAAAAAAAAAACGGCTCAAGGGTGTAAATTGAATTTTTTTTTTTCGATTATTCTAACATAAAAATGACGACCTTGACTAATAAGAATTAATGTCTGTCATTAAACCGTTTTTTTTTTCCCTCCCCTCCTGCGTATAATAATAATAATAATCGGAGAAAAAGGAATAGGAAAAAGGAAAAAGGAAAAGGATAAAAAATTCAAAATTTTCCCATTTGTCGAGAGCGTTAGTGACGTCGTTGTCATGGCAACACTGTGCGACTTTCGCGGTCGCCAGTTAGTGTGCTTTCATTTGTCGCTGATTCTGGCGTCCCAAAAAATTTTCATCGATAATTTTCTTTTTTCTTTATTGAAAATTTTTTTCATTTTTGTTTTTCGTTAAAACTTTTCTACTCGTTCTTTTTTTTTTTTCTTTGACGTAAAAGTGTGACAATCAACACGTGATTTAATTACTTATATACATAATAACAATCATAAAAAAAAAAAAAAAAATTTGTAAATTTCCACCATTTTGTTTTTTTTAAAAAAGGGTTAAAGGTTTTAGTTTGTTTCTTTTTAACGTAAAACGTGACAGTAGTGTGAGCTGTAATAAAAAAAAGAAAAAACTATTGACAATTGTTTTTTTATTTATTTTTGTGTGATTAATTATTTTGTGTTTTTTTTTTTTTTTTTTTTTTTGAAAAATGAATATATTCGTATACAATTTTTATAAATTTCTAATCAATACGTTATAAAAAATTGATTGTTTTTTTTTTTTTTTTTTTGAAAATATATGTAAAAGATAAAAAAGGAAAATTTTATATATTTCTTTTTTTATTTTTTTCTATCGTTTTTATTTATCTATGTCGGAATGTCACGGATTATTAATTTATACAGGTTGTGAGTATATATATATATTTTTTTTTTTCGAACAAACAAAATCATTTAATATTTATTTAATGTTATTTTAATTATTTTTATTTACCGCGACTTCTTTGATTACACGTTCGAGCTTGTTGTGTCATTTAAAAGAAAAAACGCTTGAGCTATCATCATTATCATTATTATTATTATTATTATTACGTTAATGCGTTCGATTTGCTTTAAATTAATAAATTTTTGGGCTTTTTTTTTTTAATGCTTTTTGTTTGGTCTTCCGCTTTTAAACGCAAATTATTATCATTATTATTATTAAATTTTAAATTTTTCGTTTTCGAATGTTTGGAATACGCGATAAGCGAACAAGTACTCTTAAGGGATTTTTCTTTTTCTTTTTTTTTTTCGTTTGTTTGTTTGTTTGTTTGTTTTGATATTTTTACAAATTTTTGTCGTTTGTTTGATTTGTCTTCTTATTATCGCCTTACCACGAATTCTAATCGGTTTTATTTGAGTTCGGAAAATAGAAAAAACAATGTTGTAAATGAATAAATAAATGATACGCGGTCGGTTTGTGTTGGAATCCATCTTGATTTTTTCATAAGGGAGAGAGAGAGAGAGAGAAAAACGGTTTTTTTTAAAATTAATGTAACGGATTACGTCACGGATTTTTCTTTTCGCGTTTTTCTTTTCCTTCCCCCCCCCTCCCCAAAAAAAAAAAGGTTCTCCCTTTTTCGTTTTCTTTCTTTAAAAAGCGTTGCTGAAACTTTTAAAAGTATAAATTTTCTTTGGGAGAGAAAAAGAAAAAACAAAAAATTTTTTTCAACGATTCGAATTCGTTTTTTTTTTTTTTTTAAAAATCAAAATGGCGGACAGATATTTATACGTAAGCGAGTGTGGGGTTTTTTTTTTTTTTTTCTTTTCAAATTATTATTTCCTTTGACTTACTTACGTAAATTTATTTATTTCGCCGCATCGATTTCACGGTATTGATTTTGTTCATTGACTTTCTTCTTTTTGCTTTTTCACAATGTCTGTGAGTTTTCGCCATTTTTTTTTTTCTATTTTGCAAAATAAAGTTTTTTTTCCTCTCTCTCTCTTTCTCTTTCGATTTTTAAATAGGAAGTCACGCGCGAATTGACAAAAAAAAATTTTTTATTAATAGTATCATCATCATCATCATCATCGTCGTCGTCGGTTATTTTTCGATTTCGTTGATTTAAAAAAAAAAAAAAAAATCGATTGTTGTTCGATGTAATCGATCGATATTATCGAATTGCGGAGTGCGTTAAAATGGGTAAATGGTAACGACGTAATGATTTGTTTGTGGAAATGAAAGGAAAAATCGAATTTTTGGTTGTTTTTTTTTTTCGGTTTTTCGGTTTGTTTCGGTTTTAATGGTTGTTTTTCTCAGTCGTTTGTTTTCCTTTGTACACAACTGACAGTGTTTGTCTTTTATTTATGTAGGTAGATGTACGTATTCGTAAGCGCGTACGTTTGAATTTGATACTTTAATTAACTTTATTTAATTATTAAAAGTTTATTTTTAATGACCGTTTCGTAACGTTTTTTTTTTTTTTTTTTTTTTTACGTTGAAAATTTAAATGTGACGGAGAAAGTGCGTAAAAAAATTTTTTTTTTTTTTTTTATGATTTCCATGTGTTACTTACGACGTCTTATTTTTAAATTTTTCGCATCAAAATACGTAGACGCCATTTTCTTTGTTTTGCAATCGCGCAGGTCTTTTTAATTAATTTTGGATTTTTTTTTTATATATATTTGAATTTTACATTTTTGACGAAACGATACGAAATTATAAATTTAAAAATAATAATAATAATAATGTAATTTTGCACACGTGCACACGTGTGTGTGTGTGTGTTTGTGTAGGACGATTTGTGAATAATGAATTATTATTAATGTTTTCTATCGATTGATTTTTGAGTGTTTGAGAAAATAATTATTTTATTGTATTGTTTTGTTAACAAAGGTAACGATTATCATCGTTTGTCAATGGAAATGAATTTAAAAAAAAGGAAAGGAAAAGAAAAGAAAAGAAAAGCATGCTTATCGATTACCTTTAATTTATCCTTTTTAATTTTTAATTTATTTCTTTTTATGTTTAATAACCAAAATCCTCGTGCATATTCTTTCTCTTAAAGAGAAAAAAAAAGAAAGAAATAGAAAAAGTGAATGGCCATTTACGTAGTGTAAAAAATTAATAATTTCCTTTTTTTAAAAAAAACACACGCATTCGCTTAAAAAAAAATTTAATCGCTTAATAATAAATGACACGTTAATTAAACTATGATGATGATGATGATTTATAAATACATATTTTTTAATTTAAAATTTTCGCAGGAAAAAAATCGAAAACATGGGTAAAATGACGCAAATGACTCAAGAGGAAATTATGACGAACACGAAAACCGTTCTCCAGGGTTTGGAAGCGTTAAAAAACGAACACAATGCCATTCTCACTGGATTAAATTCAAATTTGGAAGTCATACATTCGTCTGGTGGTGGTGCCAATCCGGCGGATGAAAGCGTCGTCCAAGAAAAATCTAGATTGGTACACAAAAGCGTCGACATGATCGAATGGGGCCTTGGAGAAGCACAGGTTGGTTGGTGAAGAAGAGGAAAAATGAAAAACTTTAATTAAAAACTATTTTGTATTAAAAATGAATTTTTTTTTTTATTAAAATTCAGGTTATGATGGCACTCGCTCATCATTTGCAAATTGTGGAAGCGGAAAAGGAAAAGTTGAGGACTCAAGTTCGAAGATTGTTTCAAGAAAATGCTTGGCTAAGAGATGAACTTGCCAACACTCAACAAAAATTACAATCATCCGAACAAACGGTTGCCACATTGGAAGAGCAAAAAGAGCATTTGTTGTTTATGGCATCGATAAGAAAATACGATCAAGATGTTTCCGTATGTTTTTTTTTTTTTTTTTTTTCCCTTTTCCTTTTTCCCCCGGAAAGGAAAGAGTCGATTTTTTTTAATGATATATTTTGCAATTTTTTTTTCTTTTTCTCTTAACAGCAAACT